TTATCGAGATTTATTTGCATATTTGAGTTGCATTTTAAGAAATAAAAATATTGTTGACCCTGAATTTGAAAGGCAAAGGAATAAAATAAAATAAATCTTTCTCAAGATTTTTAAAAAATAAAGAAGGTTTTTAATATCATTTCAAGCAATTTGCATAAATTATTTATCGCACTCATTATCAAAAAGTTCTCGTGAAACTTCCAAAATGAGTATAACCTCGCTGAATGGGCTTGTAAATATTTTTTGCAATAAAGAGAAACTTTTATGGTATTATTGTTGTGGGTAATAATAATTTTTTTTTTAAATAATGTTCATTATGTATTTTTAGTTTGAGGAAAATTTCCATACAATGTTTATTGCTATTATAAAATATAAAATGTAATAATCATTTTTTTAAATTTAAATTCGTGTTTTTCGTGCGTTTCAAATATCATTTATAATCATTATACTTGATTTCTCAATTTATAATTTTTTTAATTCAATGTCACGACGAATAGTTATTGACCTTGTGTTTGTATAAAAAAAACTATAGGGTTCCGTCATTTGGAAATTTATTCATATCTTTTTAGAGGACGATTTAAATTTTAGGCGTAGTTAAATTTAAAAAAAATTTAAAAGAATTTCCTGTAATTTGCAAATTATCATTTTTAAATGTTATAGAATATTTTAAATCTCGAAATAAGGTCGAGAATAAAATTTAATTAAATATTAAAATATAAACAAAATTATTTATAAAGTCAAAATTTTTGAGGAACAAAAGTAAACCTCTTTTGAAAATTTTCATGACTTTAAGATGGTAATTAAAATGTTGTGTATAAATTAAATAATTTAATTTCAAATTAATTTAGATAATTAAATTTTTATTTCATTAGTTTAGAAATTTAATTTAATTAAATTAAATTGATAAATAACAATAATTGAATAATACTCAGAGCATTGTAAATTATTTATTTGTTTTAAATGGAAAATTTATTCGACGTAAAAAAAATTTTTATTTGAACCAAAGCAAATTTATTTAAACCAAATAAAATTTATTTGAATCAAGTAAAATTTATTTGAACCAAGTATAATTTATTTGATTCAAGTAAAATTTATTTGAATCAAATATAATTTATTTCAAATAAATAAAAAGACTAAAGGCTGAGTCAAATATTTTTTTTAGGTGCAAATTGAATTAAAAATAATAAATAAAATTATTAAATAAATTAAGTTATTAATAATAGTTAATAGTAATTGAATTATTAAATTAATTAATCTAGCTAATCATTAAATTTATCTAATAATTTAGTTAACCGTAAATAAAAAAAATTATTTAAATAATGAGAAATAATTTAAATAATTAAATTTTATTTAATTCATAAATAAAAATTTTCTAAAAATAATGTGCTTCGGTAAAATGAAAAGAAAATATGCGTGCTTCACTTTTATATAATTATAGAAATCGCGTGTTAATGGTACAATTGCAACATTGATAAATTATAACATAACATATAAATAAAAAATATAAAATCAAAAACAATAATTAAGAACAATCATGAACATAATTAACAATTATTTTAAAATGAAATACAACTTTAGTTGTAATAAATAATTTGTTAATAATTATTATTGCCTTTCTCTTTATTTCCTATTATACACATATATAGAAATACGAATGAAAATTAAGTATTCTTTCGTGTATCCTGCTTAAGTGAAATTAAGTTCGTTACATTATTTTCTTATCATAAATAGTATCCTCTCTTTATACGGTGCTCGTAGATAAGGTTTTGTTGATTTGCAACATTCAAGTGTGTACTTTCATTATAACACGATTTTCTTCAAATGAAATCTTGATTCTCTCTTGTTTCTATAAAATTGACCCACTAACATTGTGTCCACTTAAAAGGAAGGAAAATCTCCTCTTTCTCGTATGTGGCGAATGTGTTTATAGAGTCCACTTTGTTTCTCTCGTAAATTACTTGTCCGTCAAGTGTGTAAGAATTATCGACATTTCTCAATATGAAAATTATCAAGGTGTAAAGATTAGAAGAGTCTAAGAAAAAAAGGTTTCTAATTAATTCAATCGATTTTAGATTAAAATTATTTATTTATATTGTAATCTAAATTATTATTGGTAGTATTATTTTGCGTGAAACACTTCATTAATCTCAATCGTGCCTTGTACTAATAATTTAGGACTATAGAGTTTATTTTAAACCATTTTTTTCAATTTCTAATATTTCTCAAGTGCAACGTAAATTTAAACTTAAAAATAAAAAAAATTACAACACAAAATATATGTTTCTAAAGTTCGAAAATTATTTCTTTTCGAATATTTTTTATTACGAAAATTATTTTTTTTTCAATTTTAACTTTAATTTACTAAATTTTCAATTTAATTTTAATTAAAATAATATAGTTAATTTTAATACAAAGTCACGTTAAAAAAAATGATCCTCAAGTTTCGAACGTTCAAATGAACGACGATATTTTTTACATCTTTTAATTTGCACTTTTTTTACAGAAAAGAATTATTTTGTACCTACCTATAGCACAAAAAAATAAGAAAATATTTAATTTTTACTATTTTTCATTTTTGGATGGTAATTTTTCTAAATATGTAATTTAAATAGAAAAATATTTCGTTCATTGAAAGTTGAAACTTTAGGAAAATTTAAACAAATTAAGTATAGTTTTTTAATGTTTTAAATTTTTAATTTTTATTATAATCGTAGTAAATAAAAATATTTTTTTAATAAACAAAATTTCGTTCAGGTATTAAACTTAAAAAATTTAGGAAAATTAAAAAAAAATTAATTGTACAGTTTCTAAATGTTTAATTTAGTTTTTTAATTTTTACTGCAATTGTGATTGCAGTAAATGAGAATATTTTTTTAATGAACAAAATTTCGTATTTTTTATATAAATCGAATTTAATTACAATTTTTTTGTTACCTTTTTTTTATTGTTTGGAAAAATTTCTGAAATGTCAAAAAGTTTTCTAAAATTTTGAAAATACAAAAGAACGAAATTTTGCTCTATTTAAATATTTCTTTACTAAAATTACTAAAATTACTACAAAAATAAGAAAAACAATTACAATTAAATATTTAATTTGTTCGAAATCAATTTTTTAATAAACAAAATAATTTAATAATTTGATAATAAAAAATAGAAATTTAAAAGATGTGAAAAAAATTCGTTCTTTAAACGTTCAAAACTTTGGGAAAATACAAAAATATTAATTATAAAGTTCCAAAATATTTAATTTTAATTTATCTTAAAATAATTTAATTTTTATTGCAACTTATGAAAATATTTTTTTATCAACAAAATTTCGTTTATTAAACTTTAAAAAAATTAATTATAAAAATTCTAAATATTTTAATTTTAATTCAAGGTTAAATTATTCTTTTAGAAAATTGAATTTTTTGTTTGTTTAATTTATTTTTTATATAAATCAAATTTAATTACAATATTTTTGTTATATTTTTTTATTGTTTGGAAAAATTGCTAAAATGTCAGAAAGTTTTTTAAAGTTTTGAAAGTGCAAAAAAACGAAATTTTGCTCTATTTAAATATTTTTTTTACTAAAATTACTACAAAAATAAGAAAAACAATTGCAATGACATTTAATTAGTTCGAAATTAATTTTTTAACAAAATTTAAAAAATTTTAAAAATTGAATTTTTTTTGTTATTTTATTTATTATATAAATTTTATTTAATTATAATTTTTTATTGTTTGGAAAAGTTGCTAATATGTCAAAGATTTTTCTAAAGCTTTGAAAGTACAAAAAGAACGAAATTTTGTTCGATTTAAATATTTTTTTTACTAAAAATACAAAAATTACTACAAAAAGAAGAAAAATAACTTAAATTGAATGTTTAATTAGGTAAAAATCAATTTTTTAATAAACAAAATAGTTTAATTATAATAAAATACAAATTAAAAGTATTAAAAATAATGTCGCTAATTAGAACGTTCGAAACTTTATTAAGAATGTCAAGAAGTTTTTTTTTTAAACTTGTTTATTTTTTTTGGAGAAAAATAAAAAAATGATAGTTTCTCTTTCGAAAGATTTTTAACCTTCTATTAAAGTTATCCACTGGATCATGCTAAGTATTATGATTATGTTTTTTTTATCATAACTATAAAATTGTCGGTTTACCTGTTGAGACGAATTACGTATGACAGATGTAAAATTAGGAGAATTTTTTTCATGACAAGTAAAATAGTGGAAATAAAAAATTGAATTAAAATAACATCGGAGATAGGGACACTTGAAATTATAATGTAGAGTTGATTGACCTTCTTGGTTGTAAATGGCGAACGTTAAGATAATTGGAGTAAAAGGATTTCTCTAATAATTCCCGTATATTTACAATCAAACATTCCATCGTGTCACCTGTTTCATTAGAATAAAAATTTCGAACTATGTTGACTTTTGCAATTTACCTCTCGATTATAAAGTCCAACACCTTGAAAATTTCATCAAGTTAATTGACTACTGGAATAATTAAATATCTCCCATACGATAATATATTTGATTAATGGCAACATTATTTATTTTCTGCTTTGGTTCTTGAAATTGATTATTGTTACAAGTGTTTGGAAAAAAATTTTTATTTTTATTTATTCTTAATGGACATAATTTGCATAAATAATATATATTTTTAAATTTTGCAATCAGTTGAAAAAAGTGTGTTAATTTTTTCTTAAATATACATATATTCTTTTAAGAATATAATACGCTCTGAAAACAAATATAATAATGTCGTTGGTTCTTTAGAATGACAAATAGAGCGATGAATTGTGGGATTACTCCGGAAATTAGAAACCAATGTTCCAAGTTTTCAATTCCAGTGTGTAGAATATATGCATTTTATCTGGTTATTTAGGTTATTAGAGAAATCTAATTGGCAAATATAATTATGTAAACAGGATGAAATCATGTGTGCTGATCATTTTCGCGGATTTATATTTTAATAAACTGAAGAGAGAGAAAAAAAGAATTAAAATTTTTTCCTTTTTTTCTCTTCGAAATTGGAAATTAGAAACTTTGTTGGAAAATAGGAAAGAATTTTTTTTTTATTTTGGAAATATTCATTTCTTGAAAGGGTGGAATTTGAAATTTGTTTTGTTCTAGTTTTTCAAGATCAGATCATATCTTAATTCGTATGCAGTGTCTCGTCGAGATTAGCAGCTTCTCTTTTTAGTAGATTGAGTAAAAGTTGAGAACTCTCTATAATCTGAAATGAGAAATTCACTGAATTTTCTACTTACATGAGAAATTATAATCAGCCTGGAACGATAAATTGCTAATTTGAAAATGAAAATTAAATTCTTAATTTATGCCTATATGAAATTTAGAGTTGAACGAATATAAATACTTTTTGTGTAATTAAAATTATAATATTTTTTTCTATGATTATTTCCTTTAAAAATATAAAAAATTTTATTGAAAACTATTTATTTATTTTTAATTAAAGAAAAAGTATTTTATTAACGAAAATAGAAAAGAAAGGAAACAAAGAAAAAAAGAGAAGAAAAAAAATGAAGTAAAAAATAATTTGGTTATTTGAAATGAAAGCATATAGAAAATAAGTGAGACTCAACAACCTGATTTTCCTGACCTTCTCATATGCACCTTCAGCTTCTTGAATGGTACGATCGTATTCATGACGCACTGCAGCTTTCTTTGAGAGACTCTCGTTTAGCTCGTTGATCTTGTAGGACATCCTTTCGACTTCCTTCATGAGTTGGTTCCGTTTTTCCTCCTCGGCGTGTATTTGTTCATCTAAATTCTTTCTCACTCCCTTCAATTCATTAATACCTTTAATGTCGCGTGATTTTTTTTTTTTTTTTCATTTTATAACTTATTTTACAAATTTTCTCTGCGTAGAAACATACATTTTGTTAATTGCTCCTGTTGGTCCTGCATTTAGGTTAAATTTTCCTTCTCTATTTCTCATTAAATTTCTCTATTTTCTCTTTCAAAAAATTGATGAGCTGAAATTTTTTTCTTGAAGAAAAAGAATTCTTGAATTAATAATCTCAAAAGTGGATTTTAGTGGAATTTTTGTTTACAGAAAGAAATAATAATTAAAAGAAGTTGTGACATTTAACCATTATGAGGTTCTTTTGTTTTTAAAAATCAAATTAAAGTCATTTGAAATTTTTTTTCGTGAATTAAAATTGATTAAAATTACTCTTTGTGAATGTGCATATTAACGATGTAAGGTAACCAGTAAAAATTTTTTATTAATAACTTCTATTTCTTACAAAATGCACATTAATTTGTTATTAGATACTTAAAAGTAAAAAAAGCACATGAAAGTCACAATTTTGTTTTTTTTTATTCATTAAGATGCGTTTCGTCAAGCGAGTTGTATGCTTTTAAATCGTAACCAAATCTGAAAAAAGAAGAGTAAATTAATTATTTTTGATTAATTAATCCTGTGAATTATTTAAATTAATTAAATAAGGGGCCGTTCAAAAAATACGTAACGCTTTAGGGGGGAGGGGGGGGTCAAGCTATTTGTTACGGTCAGCAGAAAAAATGGCGCTAATGTATACAACATTGCGTTACATGGGGGGAGGGGGGGGGGTTCAAATTTCCGAAAAATAGCGTTACGTATTTTTTGAACGGCCCCTAATTAGTTTTAATTATTCTTGTAATTAAATAATTAGTTTTTAAATATTCTTTAAAAAAAGAATATTAGTTCTTTCTTTATTAGTTTTTAATTATTTTTTTTAATTAAATTATTTTGATTTTCGAAAATTATTGAAGACAAAATTTATTATTATTACTATTGTTGTTAATATTTTTATTTGTTTTGTTTATTTATTTTCATTTCTGATTATTAAAAGTGCCACTCACCCACTGAAAGCCTTAGCGATCTCCTCAACTTTACTTGGATGGCAAACAATTGATGTTGTGCAAGCTTTGGGATCTAATAATTTTTTAATATACTGAGGTGCAATACGATGAACATCATCGAGCGTAACAGATGAAACATTTTTCACCAGTTGCCGATTATAATCGTGAGGAATGTTAAAATAGTTGGACAACAACGATTGTCCAATCATGCCTTGAACAGTTTTCTCACTGTTTATTATTTCAAAAATCAGTGACGATTTCGCCGAATCGAATAAAATTGAATCCCAATTATCTTGATTGAGATACATTTCCTGAAAATTCAGATAAAAGGAAAATAATTAAAATTTGATTAAAAGATTTTAGTTAACCATTTAAATGGTTAATTAATTAATTAATTAATTAGTTAATTAATTAATTAGTTAATTAATTAATTAGTTAATTAATTAATTAATTAATTTCAATATACGAAAAAAATTACCATTATTGCTCTGGCTTCTTTGTAAGCATTTATGATATTTACTGCTCTATATAGAGTAAAGTAAAGATGACCTTCATTTGATGCAACACTCATTCCGTATGAATAAGCGTGACCTTGACCTCGAATCTTCTTCCACATTGGACCCTGAAATTGTTTGAAATATTTTTTATGTAACATAACAAAAAAAATTCGTTTTACAATCCTTTCTCTTACAATTTTTTCGTTGGGGATTAAAAAAAGTTTTTTAATTTCTACAAAGAATAGTATATTATGGAAATTTTTAGTTGGTTTCAATTAATACTTTCGCCACTCTAGAGAAACTTATCGCTAAATTTTTTTCCGTGTAGTTTTTAGTTGAATTGATAATTACCTCTAATTGGGTTAGGTACTGAAGATAAACCATCAAAGCTGCCTTATCGGGATGCATAAAATCTTTAATAGAAGGTGTACATTGAACCATAAATGCAGATTCAATGCATCCTAGACCAGTGACACATCCATTCAATGCAATGTTTCCCAATGGATTTATAAATTCATGATCCGCATGAATTTTTAACCTGAAAAATAAAAATTTATGTCATTTTTTGTAATCTAAAATAAAATCTAGAAAAATAATAATAAATAAAAAACTTTTCCAGTTTTAAATTTATTTTTCAATAAAAATAGTAATAATGATAATAATAATCTAGTAAATAATTCTAATTTCGATAAAATTACAATCAACTCTCGATAAATAAATAAATTGTTGATAAATTGAATTTGTCAATAATTTTATAATTGTTTTCTGGTCCCTTGAAGAAATTTTGATACTTGGAAAAATTTGCTAAATTTGCTAAATTAAAAATTTTCCTGTGTCCCTTGAGTTTGAATTTATCGAGAGTCGACTGTAGGTAAATTTAAATAATTGATTTGAATTATAAATAATTTTTAAAAAATTATTTTGACTTATTATAATTACTTTGACTTGTCGGGACATTGAACGTCACAGAAAAATTCTTTCCATGGTGCGTAGACATTTGGATTTTGTGCGACTAATTTATCGACATTGAAAGCCATGTGAAGGGCCATGAAATTCGGCATAGTTAGAATTTTTCGAACTTGATTAATTTCCGACGTGACTTCCTTCATTCCCTCATTGGTTTCCAATCTTTCGAGCATTTTCGTAAGGAATTTCTGTTGCCGCAACACACTCAATGTGTACTGATTGCTCTCTGAAAAATTAAGAATTTTTCATGATAGAAATTTCATTATTTTAATAACACAATGGTTCACAAATTTTGAAACGGTTTGTTTTTCGTTAAAAGTATTTTCATAAATTACTACTTGTAATAAAAATTAATTAATAAATAATTACTTAGTATAAAGTTCTAACAATTTTTTTCCAAGTAAGAGATTTTTTTCGTAAGTTTATAAAATTCTTTACCTGTTTTGTACAATAATCCTTTCAAAAGAGCACTCGTCATTAGATTTCCTTCTCTCTTTGCACTCGAAACTTCATTAAGAATTTTAGCAGCATTGACTTTCAATCTTTCTGGGGTAAATTCTGTATCGTACAACAATTCCTTAATCCATTGAACTCCTTTTGCGTACTTTGCGATTTCCACCTGTGAAAATTAAAATGAAAAATTTAGAAAATAATTTTTTTATTTGAATATAATTAAATTAGATTACAATTAAATACAATTAAATTAAATTCCACTTAAATGCAATTAAATTAAAATGTAAAATAATTGAGAAAATAATTTTACCTGAAGTATGAGATTAGCTCCTTGGCTAAAAGTGCCACAAGAAAAGCGACCTCCACCCTTTACTCCTACTCCACTCGAAATTTGAATTGTATCGGATTCTAATTCGTTAACAATATCCGTGTACGGTATTAATTTACCATCTCGATTGACAGGTGAAACTAAAAGTAATTCCAATAAAATTGGAATGTACGGTCTCAAATTCTCAGGTACTTTCGATGTGTCCATTGTTACAAAGAGCTGGAAATTGATCAATGAAAGTAATTTAATAATTAAATTAGATTTGATATTTTTTATAATTAAAACGATTCCAAAGTTCTGAATGTCCAAATGAATGAAAGTTAATTTTTTTAAATTTTTTTATTTCAATAATTTTGCATTACTATCACTATCACTATCATTGTCTACTAAAATTAATTTTTTGCTTCTAAATGTAAAATGCAAGTTTTTATTTTTAATTGCAATGAGTATTTAAAAATATTTATGAAAATATTTTTAATAAAATTTTTTTTTATCATTTTGGCTCCAGGATTTCGATCAAAATTCCCTGACTTTTCCAAATTTTTTCAAGGTTTTTAAAATTCCCTAACATTTCCAGGTTTCCAGGTTGCGTAGCAACCCTGAGAACGTTCAAAACTTGTGGATCGTAATTAGCTTATTTGTGACTTAGAAAAGTTTAAAATTTTTTTAGTAATTAATTAATTAATTAAAAATTAATTAATACATACATAAACGAAGTTCGTGTTGGCGTGATCTAAATATGTATAGAGAGGAAGTTTGTTAACGTCAAATCTCGGATGCTGCTCCAATGAATCAGTAGAAAAACTTTTTATATAGTGGAAATTAATTGAATCTGTTCCTGGAATTGGTACAGATGTCAATATTTCATCAGGCACTGGTTTCTGTAGAAGAAAAAAAATTCAGTATTTGTACTATTTATTATTAAATTTTAATAGGCTGCAAAAATAATTTTTGGATTAGAATAATTATTTTTGAAAATTATATCGGAAAGGAACTTTTCTTATTACTTCGTTTTCTGCGATAGCTTCCTCAAGTTCTTTCTCCTTCTTCTTGAGTCCTTCATCTCCCAATTTCTGTTTTTGCTTCTCAATACGTTCTTCTTCTTCTTTAGTCATTTCGATCTTCTTTTTAATACTTGGAATTCCTTTTGTAAACACAAATGGTGCATCGACAAATTGTTTATTCAAAAGATTTAACCAGAATGACGCAGGTTCGCTTTGTAGTTTTCTGAATATGTCGATTAAATTTAATCTTTTATTTAGCTGCACAAATCGAAATTATAAAATTATTAATATTCAGAATTATTACAATAATAAAGTAAATAAATAATAGAAAATGTACTTAAATATTAACAAGGTTGCCACATAATGTTGATTTTGTTTTTCCCCTGATTTCTAGACAGAATTTTGATATTTTCCCTCAGAGTTTAAAAAATTTCTGATTTACTCTAAGAATGATTAGATACACAAATAAATATTTTTAATACATTTAATTGTCATCTTCAATTAATTTGCAATTTGGAAACTTTAATTGTGAAGTTGTTTTAAAATTTTCTGAAATTTCGAATTAAATAAATTTGTAAAATTCAATTATTGTCAGAAATAGAGAAAATTAAAAATTGGTGATTTCAAAGTTTATGAGACAAACAAAAATTGATTCAAGAAGAAATAAATCTTTTTAATTCTTTGACTTTTCCCTAAATTCCCTGACCTGTGGCAACCCAAAATTTATTATAATTAGTATATTTTTGAATTAAAATTGAGAAAATGAATTAAAATATTTACTTACATCTTCATTTGAATTACCAAATAAAATATCGTTAACTAACGATCGAACAATGATAGTGTCAGGACTGCTCTCCATTCCACTTTGAATTTCGAGAATACTTTTTTGTACAACAATGGCCATTCTCTTCATGTCAATTCCATCGTCCTTGCTACCAATTTCCTTTAGAGTATTTATTAATCGATCCTTTATTAAGGGAATCTTTTCCTTAGGCACATTATCAAATCTTATACCATATAGGGGTGTGGAATTTTCACAAATTTCCGAATCAACATCATTCGCAAAGGGATCGTCAATTTCGACAAACTCCTGTTGAAGTGGACTGACTGATGTATTTGTGAGATACCTGAGTAAAACAGTACAAGCCACATGTTTATAATAGTCGTTAATTGATGATCCTTGCCAACCTGCTATCACCATTCCATTGTCCTCATCATCGCAAGGATAGAAAACATCAAAATCAAATTTTTCTGCTAAAGCTTCCACTTCGCCTTGCCAAGGTTTTTTGAACAAATCCCCCGATCCCTGAAATTCAAAATGTCTTACTTTCTTTCAACGAATAATATAAATTGCTAAATAATTTTTTAATTACTAAATTAATTTTTCATTACTAAATTAATTTTTAATTACTAAACTAATTTTTAATTACTAAATTAATTTTTAATTAGGTACTAAATTAATTAGTGAATTAATTAGTAAATAACTTGACTAAATTTCCTTGCCATTTTCCTAAAAATTTAGACATTAAAATTATTTTCCCTGACAAAATTATTTTCACAGGAAAATAAGTAAAATTTATTAAATTTAATAATTTACTTCATCTATAAATCAATTATTTTAAATAATTGTCCGAAAGTTCTTCGAGAATAATTCAATTATTTAAATACAAAAACTCCATTTTTTATAATAATTATAATTGTCCACGTTTTTTCTTAACTTATTAAGGTATATTTTCAAAAAATTATAATAAAGAAATTCTTACCATTAATTTTTTTAAAAATATTTTTAAATAATTTTTGAAAGATAATAGTTTTTTAATTATGTTCAATTGAAATATTTCTATTAAAATTTGGTAAAATCTTTCAAAAATAATTGAATTTTTGAAAAATATAAATAAAAATAATCAAATTTTTGAAGAATTTTAATTATAAATATAACCATGATTTCTCCGAAATTTTAATAAGTCTAAAAAAGTAAATTTTCATAAATTTTTATTTACTTTGTTTAAAGATAATTGAATCTTAAAAAATTATGATAAAAGAATTCTAAGAATTAGTTTTTAAAAATATTTTAATGTAATTTTTCGATAATAATTGAATTTCCTAAAAGAATTTTTGTATAATATTTAAAAAAAAAACTAATTAATTTTTTGATAAATTTTTATTAAAAATTTTGAACATGATTTTTTTCTCCAAAATGTTAAAAGTAATTTTAAAATGTTATTCTTTCTTGTATGTTATTTAAATTTTCAGAAATATGTAATTAAAAATACTGAAAATATTGAATTTAAAAAAATTAGAAGCTAATTTGGATTAATTTTCATTTTTAGATTTACATTTAAAGATTTTTTATTAACATTTTTCAAAATTCAATTATTTTCAAAATTTGGAATTATAATTCTTAAAAAGTTGATTTTCAAAAATTGTAACAAAATACCTGAAAAAATTAATTATTTTTAATGAAAATTTAAAAAATCTCAATTATCTTAAAAGATTTTTATTATAGATTTATTTAGAAAATTTAATTATTTTAAAAAATGATTCAAAAATAATTTTTAAAAGATTTGTTTATAGTTATTTTTCGCACTATAAAAATCGAAATAAGTTGTTTTTTAAACTAAAAAAATGTGGTATTTTGTTGCAATATTTGTAAGAAAAGTCGAAAAAGTCGTAATTTTTAAAAATAAGGCTAAAAAGGTCTCAATTTTTTTAATTTCTCTGACAAAAATTTTTTTCCCTGACTTTACTGACAAAAATTTTGTTTTTGTCTAAATGTGAAATTTAAGTTTTTAATTTGTCTTGCAATTTTTATTGTAAACTTTATGAAAATATTTTTTTAATAGAAAATACTTGTGAACGTTGAAAACTTGTGGATTTTATTTACTTGAATCAAATAATTTTTATTTGAGTCAATTAAATGGTATTTGCTGCAAATACTGAAATTTTGGTTTTAAATTTAAATTATTGGTTAAAATTCAAATTATTGGTTCAAATTTATTTGATTAAAATAAAAATGATTTGATTCAAGTAAATACTTATTTGTTAATGGACAAGTTATTTGAATTTATTATATATTAAGAATTGTCTCTTACTTTTGACAAAATTTTCTCCTCGATTCCTTGAAGTGCTTTAAATACCTCTGTGTGTTTCACTTGTCCAGTAATTATTATTGTCAAATTTTCCGGTCTGTAATATTCTTTGTGATAATTGCGAACTTTTTCGTTTGAAGTACTCTCTCGTAAATTTTCCAAAGCACCTATTTTAATTATCGATTAATTTTGTTGTCAACAAAATACTGTACTATCAATTAATTTTTTTATGATTAAAATATTGTATTATCATTTAAATTATTTTGTTTATGAACAACATATTGTTTTATCAATTAATTTTGTTATGAACAAAATAATGCATTATCAATTAATTTTGTTTGTGAACAAAATATTGTATTATCAATTAAATTATTTTGTTTATGAACAAAATAATGTATTATTAATTAATTTTCTTTGTGAACAAAATATTGAATTATCAATTAAATTATTTTATTTATGCACAAAATAGTGTATTATCAATTAAATTTGTTTATGAACAAAATATTGTATTATCAATTAATTTTGTTATGAACAAAATATTGTATTATCAATTAATTTTGTTATGAACAAAATATTGTATTATCAATTAAATTTATGAACAAAATATTGTATTATCAATTAAATTTATGAACAAAATATTGTATTAAAAAAATATTTTGTTTTTGTAAATTTAGTATATTTGTAAAAAAAAAGTAGAGATAATTAACATACCGCCAGTGTAGGATTTATAGCCACATTTTCCCGGATAAAGAGCTCTTAAAAGTTTCATGTACGTCATTTCCTCGCCGGTGTTCATGCAACCTTGCATTTCAGAGTAAACAATTCCAGCATCCTTGCCTTCTCCGGTAATATGATGAACTTCTGTTTTATAAGCAGATTCCTAAAAAAATTTTGTCTCTAAATATTTGTTTCGGTTTTTTATTTTTTTGTCTGTGGAATTTAAGTTTTTAATTTCTTTTTTCTCTAGAATTTTTCGTTTTTAATTATTTTTGTTTCTAGAATTTATTATTTTCGGTTTCTTTTATCTCTGGAAATTTTTATTTTTAATTTTTATGTCTCTAGAATTTTTTGTTTTTAATTTCTCTTGTCTCTAGAATTTTATTTTTTTGGTTTTTTATTTAAAATTTTTTTTTTGTGAAAGAAAGAATGAAAAATTACCGTAAGTGTGGGAAAAAGAATGTGTTCAAGGTAAATAGGCATTAGAGATAAAAATCCCTCGGAGCCGGCAGTTTTCATTGTGTAGGCAGTGTGATGAGTTTCTGTCCATGCATTTGTACCGGATGCAAGACATCGGTTCGCCACTAAATCCAAAACTCCTTTGTATGGATATTTCTCACTGCCGATAAAAACAAGATGCTCCAATGTATGTGGCAGGCCATCGTCATCGAATGCTTCCGTTGCTGAAAAATTTATTAAAAATTCCATTCTAGTTTATTTAAATCCAATTTTTGTAAAAGACAGAAATTTGATTTTCGTAAAAACGAAATAGAATTATAAGAAAATGAAAAATTAAATAGAATAAAAAAAATTATAATACTGTCATTATAATTATAACAAAATTTTACTTCATGAGAATATTTTTGATGTTGAAATTAATTTTGTTATAATTATTGTGAGTGGTAGTAGGATTTTTTGTTAAGATGGAAAAAAATGGATAGAAAAATCGAGAAAAATTATTAATTATTAAAAGTTTTTTTACGGGGCGTATGCAGACTATGAAAACCCTTTTACAGTTCCAAAATGGTTTCCCTTCAATATGGGTGTTGATATAATTTTTCAAAATATCAATTCAATTTTTCCCTTTTTACTCCAAATTTTTTATTTTTTTTAATACTGAATAAATTACTTTTCAATAATTAATAATTCAATTAATTATACCAAATCGCAATGCAGACAGAAATAGATGATTAGCATGCCATTATATTAAAAATAAGGTTATGTTTCCATGTCTTTTTGGAACTTACCGAGACAAAAAAAGCCACAAACAAGAGGTCCATCAACATCGGCTATAAAAACAGTTAGTCCAGTATTGACTGATTTATATTTATGCACAGGAATTGATTCATTTGATTTAAATGAACAAATTAATTGAAAACCGCTCATACTGCCCGTAGGTGAATTGTCAACCGGCGCCATGTTTATTACACACACAGAGTTTGTTTCACAGTTTCAATGTCATATATATATATTACAAGTTTGTTTGTTTCCTTTCTTATCGAGCGTCTCTCCAGCCTACTCTGTTATTATAATTACATATATACATATACTATGTGTTTTTATCGCCACATAAGATGACATAAATATTCATTTGCATAAATTTACTATACATTATTCATTATTTTTTATAGTGCGCTAAAAATAATTAATTTGCAACAAAATTTGCGCGGAAAGAGAAATACTTAATTTTTCAAAATTCATTGATTAAATAATTTGAAATTCAACAATGTATTGTTTTTCCTGCTTTTGTTTTGATTTATTGTATGAGGAAATGAAAAAATCTGCATTACCCTTGGTAGTTTAGTTATTCTTTGGGAATTTATCCATCGGTATATTTGGACCAACAATCGATTGATTCAAATCTGTTTTGTGCTGAGAAAAATTTATTTTGATTTAAACCATTGTCTACTATCAAATAAATATTAGTAAATATTTTCCTGGATCATGTAATTTTTATTTTTATTTAAATCACATGACTTTTTTCGAACCAATAAATTTAGTATTTGAAGGAAATACAATTTAATTGATGTAATTACAATTTAATTGATGTAATTACAATTTAATTGTTGTAAATACAACTTAATTGATGTAAATACAATTATTTAATTGTTGTAAATACAATTTAATTGATGTAAATACAATTTAATTGTTGTAAATACAATTTAATTGATGTAAATACACTTTAATTGATGTAAATAAAATTTAATTGTTGTAAATACACTTTAATTGATGTAAATAAAATTTAATTGTTGTAAATACAATTTAATTGAGTTAAATAAAAATCATTTGATTCAAGTAAATATTTATTTGATAATAGACAAATAATAATCGGTTATTTGAATTATTTTTTCAGCGTAATTAGTAGGAACGTTAAATAAACCTGTGAAATTTTAAATATTTTCTTATATTTTATTGACATGTTTTTTTGGTACTTGTTTTAATTTATATATTAATAATAATTTTTTTTTTTTTGAAGTAAATTAAAAAACAGAAATCGCAAAATAAATTAATAACTGTTTTCTATTTTTGTTTCAGATTCTCTGAGGCCTGTGGTAAAGAGAAAAAGGTTAGACATCAAATTCATTAAATTATTTGTTTAAAAAACTATTGTTTTTGGTTTAAAGACAAACTTATCGTTTGTCAACCAATCTTCACTTTTTTAATGAATCTTTTTTAACAGTTACGTGATTTTTAATCATTTTTTAAAAATATTTATATTCGGTGAATAAATTTTTTTTATAATTAATTAATTATTATTATTATTGTCTTATTAATTTTTTAATAAGACGAAGAAAAAATTAACTTTTTTAATAAGAATTATTATTTTGATATAATAAACTTCAAAATTTTTAGAAAAATTTTTCTGAAAATGAGGAGAAATTCTAGGTATCAAATTCTATTTTTTTTAAATAAAAGATCATTTTTCTAAAATTTATATTTATTTGTTTATAATAAATATATAATATGATACAATTTAACGTTTGACTTAAAATTTTTTAATTTATAGTAAATATTTATAAATTAAACATTTTACACACAGTTTTGTAAAATAGATTTAGAATAGTTTTTAAATTATTAAATTATTTTATAATATAAATAGAATAGAGTTTTAAGTAACATTTTTCTTCAATAGATAATAGAGTTTTGAAAAAGGGTAACTTCTTTTACTAGACGAATTTTTTTTTTTTTTTTTTCAAAGAATATATATATATATAATATTTAAATAAAAATAAATTTTTATTCCCTTTTTTGAACTGGCGTGCGATAGAAATTGGTATTTTTCCCATCATTTAACGGCTTTAATCCAATCAATTTCAAGCGCCGATACTCCAGGTTGATTATCTGGCAGATAAGGTCCGTTGTCCACTTTAATGCCTATATTCGTGATGGCCGATATATCTAAAGGATAGGCATCCAGAGCTAATTGCTGTCCTCTATAGTATGGTTTAAAATCTATCAATGGTAATTTAATAGTTGCAAATTCATTTTCCGGTGCCTGGAATAATAAAAGATTCTCTGGCAAATTTTTTATTTCGCTACAATGATTAATTGATTCATTTTCTTATTTGCTATTATAAGGTTTCTGAATTATTAAGTTACTTTTACTATTATTATTACTACTATTACAATTATTATTATTATTATTATTATTATTATTATTATTATTTTTGTTATATTTAATATTAACTTTTTCTATTATTAATTAATATTTTTTTTTATTATTTTTTTATTGAATTTATTTATTTATACACTCGTCAAATTTAATACTAACTTATTTATTTATTTTGTTTTGTAAATTATAATAAATTATTATTTATTACTTTTTAAATTTATTATTTTTAATTATTGTACATTTTAAATTAACGTTTTCAAGGTTGCCTCAGATCAGGAAATTCAGGGAAAAGTCAGGGAAAGTAGAATTGGTCAGCGAAATGAGGGAAAAGTAAGGGATTTTTATTAAAAGTACTGGAAAAAATTAAATTTTTAGAATTCATAAGAAAATTCTGAATTTTTGTGTCTTTTTTGTTTGTCTCATAAACTATGAAATTGCCACGAATTCTAATATAAAACCTTCAATTTTTTTATTTATGACAATAATTTAATTTTAAATAACTTAATTCTTGAAGTACTATCATAAAATTATTACTTAGAAATTATTTAATGAATAATTTTATTTAAATATTTCAAAATTAATTGAATTTTAAAAGAGTTGCGTTTACAATTTTCATAAATAGATGAACTTCAAAAGGTTACAATTTGAAATTTTATAAAATTTCAATTCTGAATGAATATAATTAGAAAGAACTTCGATTTTTGCAAAAAAAAAATTAATAATTTAAATTCTTCTGAAAGTAGTTAAATGTTTATCTTTAAAAATAATTAAATTCTATTCCAAAAATCAATAATTTTTAAAAATTTTAATAAAATTCTTGGTAAAATTTTAATTTTTCCAAAAATTTTCCTCAATTCAAATAATGTAAAATATCAACTATTTTAATACCTAAAATTTTCCAAAAGAATTCAATTATTTCAAAAAAAAAATTTCATATAAAATTATACGCTAACATTTAATTTTTTTTTATAAATAATAAAAATTTCTCAACAATGCAATTATTTACAAATTTTATATTGTTTTGAATCATTCATTAAAATTTTAGGAAATAATTGAAATTTCGGAAATATTTAAAAATATTTGAATTCATCCGAGGAATTCAATAATTGAATCCTTGGATCCAATAACTCGCCCGACGCTCGGAGACTCGCGCTAATGCCAGTCGGGTAGCAGTGAGTGGCCCAGAGGCGCTCACTGCTCACTGACTGGCAGTTGCGCGTTCCTCCGAGCGTCGGGCGAGTTATTGGATCCAAGGCCTCAATTTAAATTATTTTGAAAATAATATTGAATTCCTGCAAAGAATTTTACTATTTATAAAATTAATTGAATTTTTGAGAAGAATTTTACTATTAATAAAATTAATTGAATTCTAGCGCAGGATTTATTAAAATTTTAGAAAATAAATGAATTCTTTCGTGAAATTTGATTAAAATTTTTGAAAATATGAACAGTAATAAAAATAATTAATTTTGTAGGTACTTAAGTGAATTTTTAAAATTTTGATTATGAAATTATTTCAAAAATTTATATTTGAAAATAAACAAATTTTGTAATTTGTATAACAATAATAAATTGAATATCACGTTCCAAGCGTAACATTTGCTAGTTATAATAATAATAATAATAAAAATAACGATAATGTAAAAATAATAATATATAATAATGTAATATATAACATGTTGAATAACTAAATATAAACTTTTGATGGAGTAATTAATTATTTTGCGAAAATAATTTATGGAGAGTCAATATTATATGAAATAAGGGTTGTGTGAGATGTAAAGGTGTGACAATAGGGAGAGAATGAGAGTGTGATAGATGAGCAAAAAATTGTATTACCGTGAAGACTTGACCATAAATCACAGCGTCTTTGCCCATTCCTTTGTGCCTCAGGAGCATTTTGTATTTTTGATTAATACCCTGACCACGGCATTTAATCATAATATTCTGAAATTGCTTGAGATCGAAGTTTGTATCGCAACGAATTGCCGCAAAGCCAGTTCCATTTGGTTTTGGATTGAATAGAGTGAAGAGGACTGCTCTTTGCAAAAGCTGGGTTTTCTGAATAACGAGAATTGCTTTCGACATTCCACTCGGTTTTATTGTGTCCGAATACTCTGTCCAGCTATCAAGCTGATCCGTTCGTGTAAAATCAAATAGAGTTTGAACAGTACTAAACATAAAAATACATTTTGTCCATAGGAAAACAAAAAAAAAACGAAACAAAATCGTAAATTCTATTATCAAAATAAATTTTTATTTATTTGACAAAAAAAGGAGAGAATAATATTTTACTATATTTTCTTTTCTAAATATAACTTACCCGCAGTTTGCCGTGCCTACCATGTCTCATCCCTTCTAAAAAGACATTCCAAAACTGAGTCAACAATGTCGTGTCATCTTAAAATCGATCTGCAACTTGTTTCTAGGATCAATCTTCTCTCGCATGTCTCAATGTCATTTTTTCCATGTCAAGCACACAAAACAAAAATTCCACATTGCTTTTAAAATACAAAATGCAGTTAAAATTTTTATAATAAAATTGTTCGAAATTGTTACAGTTGAAGAAATTCCCTAACAAATATTGTTTGCTTTCTTTGAGCTTCTCAACTACATTTTTCCTCTTTGAGTTTTTATAAGGATATTAAACTCCGCGATTCCTCCTTTCAATTCAACAACCATTGGGTCACAAAGAAAAGTTTGATCAATTTCCTCCTGTAATATATTGACGACCTATAATCGAATGTCGGTGACTTTCTTCTACGTTGAAAGAGAGAAAAAATAAAATTAAAATCAAAAGGAAGTTGAACTATACACTCTGATCGGCAACATATTTCTCAAGATCCGTTCTCATTTCATTAACAGATATTTCATTTAATTTCGTTTCTTTATTAAATTTGTTAACATTTATTAATTTTAATATCGGTGTTTTAATATACATAATTGCAATTATGAGGAATATTTTCGAAATTGTTTCTGTTTTTATAATTTCAATAATTAAAAAACTGATAGTTTTCCTAATTATCGTCTGTTGCGGTTGTAATGATTCTGAATCTGAACTACTAATTGGTTATAGTGGTTGGTAATTATGATAATTGTCTGCAATAGTAACTGCCATTGATTAAAATTATTAACGTTCGTAATTATACCATCGATTTTTGCTATCATTGTGTTTGAAATGACAAACAAATATACCAGGGTATGAAACTATAATTTATTGTAACAACTATTATTTTGTTAAATAAAATCTATTAACTTTGACAAAAAAAATTAGGGTATAAAAAAAAAAAATAAAAAAGGAAATCTTATTATTTATAGTTGACTCTCAAATTTAATAATTCTAATCATCTAAAAATTACCAGAGTTCTAGTAGGGACTGAGCCCTACTCAATCTTGAAGAATAGAGAATTTTATCTGAATTTTTAAGTTGAAGCAGGTCCACCCGTACGCCATCAGACAATCAAAATTTGGTAATAACGAAAATAAAAATTTTTTTTCTACAAATTTAATATTTCTAATCATCTGAAAATTACCAGAGTACTAGTAGGGACTGAGCCCTACTCAATCTTAAAGAATAGAGAATTTTATTTCAATTTTTTAGTAGTAGCACCCTCACCCGTACGCCATCAGACAATCAAAATTTGGTAAAAACGAAAATAAAAATTTATTTCTTCCAAATTTAATATTTCTAATCGTCTGAAAATTACCAGAGTACTAGTAGGGACTGAGCCCTACTCAATCTTGATGAATAGAGAATTTTATCTGAATTTTTAAGTTGAAGCAGGTCCACCCGTACGCCATCAGACAAACAAAATTTGGTAAAAACGAAAATAAAAATTTATTTCTTCCAAATTTAATATTTCTAATCATCTGAAAATTACCAGAGTTCTAGTAGGGACTGAGCCCTACCCTATCCTGAAGAATAAACAATTTTACCTCAATTTTTAAGTAGTAGCAGGTCCACCCGTACGCCATCAGACAATCAAAATTTGGTAAAAACGAAAATAAAAATTTATTTCTTCCAAATTTAATATTTCTAATCATCTGAAAATTACCAGAGTACTAGTAGGGACTGAGCCCTACTCAATCTTTAAGAATAGAGAATTTTATTTCAATTTTTTAGTAGTAGCACCCTCACCCGTACGCCATCAGACAATCAAAATTTGGTAATAACGAAAATAAAAATTTTTTTTCTCCAAATTTAATATTTCTAATCATCTGAAAATTACCAGAGTACTAGTAGGGACTGAGCCCTACTCAATCTTGAAGAATAGAGAATTTTATCTGAATTTTTAAGTTGTAGCAGGTCCACCCGTACGCCATCAGACAATCAAAATTTGGTAATAACGAAAATAAAAATTTATTTCTTCCAAATTTAATATTTCTAATCATCTGAAAATTACCAGAGTACTAGTAGGGACTGAGCCCTACTCAATCTTGAAGAATAGAGAATATTATTTCAATTTTTAAGTAGTAGGAGGTCCACCCGTACGCCATCAGACAATCAAAATTTGGTAAAAACGAAAATAAAAATTTATTTTTTCCAAATTTAATATTTCTAATCATCTGAAAATTACCAGAGTTCTAGTAGGGACTGAGCCCTACCCTATCCTAAAGAATAAACAATTTTATTTCAATTTTTAAGTAGTAGCAGGTCCACCCGTACGCCATCAGACAATCAAAATTTGGTAAAAACGAAAATAAAAATTTATTTCTTCCAAATTTAATATTTCTAATCTTCTGAAAATTACCAGAGTTCTAGTAGGGACTGAGCCCTACCCTATCCTGAAGAATAAACAATTTTACCTCAATTTTTAAGTAGTAGCAGGTCCACCCGTACCCCATCAGACAATCAAAATTTGGTAAAAACGAAAATAAAAATTTATTTCTTACAAATTTAATATTTCTAATCGTCTGAAAATTACCAGAGTACTAGTAGGGACTGAGCCCTACTCAATCTTGAAGAATAAACAATTTTACCTTAATTTTTAAGTAGTAGCAGGTCCACCCGTAAGCCATCAGACAATGAAAATTTGGTAAAAACGAAAATAAAAATTTATTTCTTCCAAATTTAATATTTCTAATCGTCTGAAAATTACCAGAGTACTAGTAGGGACTGAGCCCTACTCAATCTTGAAGAATAGAGAATTTTATTTCAATTTTTTAGCAGTAGCACCCTCACCCGTACGCCATCAGACAATCAAAATTTGGTAAAAACGAAAATAAAAATTTTTTTCTCTAAATTTAATATTTCTAATCATCTGAAAATTACCAGAGTACTAGTAGGGACTGAGCCCTACTTAATTTTGAAGAATAGAGAATTTTATCTGAATTTTTAAGTTGTAGGAGTTCCACCCGTACGCCATCAGACAATCAAAATTTGGTGAAAACGAAAATAAAAATTTATTTCTTCTAAATTTAATATTTCTAATCATCTGAAAATTACCAGAGTACTAGTAGGGACTGAGCCCTACTCAATCTTGAAGAATAGAGAATTTTATCTAAATTTTTAAGTTGTAGCAGGTCCACCCGTACGCCATCAGACAATCAAAATTTGGTAAAAACGAAAATAAAAATTTATTTCTTCCAAATTTAATATTTCTTATCATCTGAAAATTACCAGAGTTCTAGTAGGGACTGAGCCCTACCCTATCCTGAAGAATAAACAATTTTACCTCAATTTTTAAGTAGTAGCAGTTCCACCCGTACGCCATCAGACCATCAAAATTTGGTAAAAACGAAAATAAAAATTTATTTCTTCCAAATTTAATATTTCTAATCATCTGAAAATTACCAGAGTACTAGTAGGGACTGAGCCCTACTTAATTTTGAAGAATAGAGAATTTTATCTGAATTTTTAAGTTGTAGGAGTTCCACCCGTACGCCATCAGACAATCAAAATTTGGTAAAAACGAAAATAAAAATTTATTTCTTCCAAATTTAATATTTCTAATCATCTGAAAATTACCAGAGTTCTAGTAGGGACTGAGCCCTACCCTATCCTAAAGAATAAACAATTTTACCTCAATTTTTAAGTAGTAGCAGGTCCACCCGTACGCCATCAGACAATCAAAATTTGGTAAAAACGAAAATAAAAATTTATTTCTTCCAAATTTAATATTTCTAATCATCTGAAAATTACCAGAGTACTAGTAGGGACTGAGCCCTACTCAATCTTGAAGAATAGAGAATTTTATTTTAATTTTTTAATAGTAGCACCCTCACCCGTACGCCATCAGACAATCAAAATTTGGTAATAACGAAAATAAAAATTTTTTTTCTCCAAATTTAATATTTCTAATCATCTGAAAATTACCAGAGTACTAGTAGGGACTGAGCCCTACTAAATTTTAAAGAATAGAGAATTTTATCTGAATTTTTAAGTTGTAGCAGGTCCACCCGTACGCCATCAGACAATCAAAATTTGGTAAAAACGAAAATAAAAATTTATTTCTTCCAAATTTAATATTTCTAATCATCTGAAAATTACCAGAGTACTAGTAGGGACTGAGCCCTACTAAATTTTGAAGAATAGAGAATTTTATCTGAATTTTTAAGTTGTAGCAGGTCCACCCGTACGCCATCAGACAATCAAAATTTGGTAAAAACGAAAATAAAAATTTATTTCTTCCAAATTTAATATTTCTAATCATCTGAAAATTACCAGAGTTCTAGTAGGGACTGAGCCCTACCCTATCCTAAAGAATAAACAATTTTACCTCAATTTTTAAGTAGTAGCAGGTCCACCCGTACGCCATCAGACAATCAAAATTTGGTAAAAACGAAAATAAAAATTTATTTCTTCCAAATTTAATATTTCTAATCATCTGAAAATTACTAGAGTACTAGTAGGGACTGAGCCCTACTCAATCTTGAAGAATAGAGAATTTTATTTCAATTTTTTAGTAGTAGCACCCTCACCCGTACGCCATCAGACAATCAAAATTTGGTAATAACGAAAATAAAAATTTTTTTTCTCCAAATTTAATATTTCTAATCATCTGAAAATTACCAGAGTACTAGTAGGGACTGAGCTCTACTTAATCTTAAAGAATAGAGAATTTTATCTGAATTTTTAAGTTGTAGCAGGTCCACCCGTACGCCATCAGACAATCAAAATTTGGTAAAAACAAAAATAAAAATTTATTTCTTCCAAATTTAATATTTCTAATCATCTGAAAATTACCAGAGTACTAGTAGGGACTGAGCCCTACTCAATCTTGAAGAATGGAGAATTTTATTTCAATTTTTTAGTAGTAGCACCCTCACCCGTACGCCATCAGACAATCAAAATTTGGTAAAAACGAAAATAAAAATTTATTTCTTCCAAATTTAATATTTCTAATCATCTGAAAATTACCAGAGTACTAGTAGGGACTAAGCCCTACTCAATCTTGAAGAATAGAGAATTTTATTTCAATTTTTTAGTAGTAGCACCCTCACCCGTACGCCATCAGACAATCAAAATTTGGTAATAACGAATATAAAAATTTTTTTTCTCCAAATTTAATATTTCTAATCATCTGAAAGTTACCAGAGTTCTAGTAGGGACTGAGCCCTACCCTATCCTGAAGAATAAACAATTTTACCTCAATTTTTAAGTAGTAGCAGTTCCACCCGTACGCCATCAGACCATCAAAATTTGGTAAAAACGAAAATAAAAATTTATTTCTTCCAAATTTAATATTTCTAATCATCTAAAAATTACCAGAGTACAAGTAGGGACTGAGCCTTACTCAATCTTGAAGAATAGAGAATTTTATTTCAATTTTTTAATAGTAGCACCCTCACCCGTACGCCATCAGACAATCAAAATTTGGTAATAACGAAAATAAAAATTTTTTTTCTCCAAATTTAATATTTCTAATCATCTGAAAATTACCAGAGTACTAGTAGGGACTAAGCCCTACTCAATCTTGAAGAATGGAGAATTTTATTTCAATTTTTTAGTAGTAGCACCCTCACCCGTACGCCATCAGACAATCAAAATTTGGTAAAAACGAAAATAAAAATTTATTTCTTCCAAATTTAATATTTCTAATCATCTGAAAATTACCAGAGTACTAGTAGGGACTAAGCCCTACTCAATCTTGAAGAATAGAGAATTTTATTTCAATTTTTTAGTAGTAGCACCCTCACCCGTACGCCATCAGACAATCAAAATTTGGTAATAACGAAAATAAAAATTTATTTCTTCCAAATTTAATATTTCTAATCATCTGAAAATT